CCAGCACCTCTGCTGCCCCACCTCATCTCCAGCCCACTGCTCATTCTTCTGCTCATCTCCATTAGGGCTGTGCAAAACAATATCATTCTGTTTGACTTCTGTTTCAACGTTTCGATGGAACAGTGTTTTGCTTTGAGTTTAGTTTCATTTCAAAAGCACTGTTCCATTTTGACATTTTGCCCATAGCCAGTGCCGGGAAAATCAGTGTTGCCGCTGGCCCCAGCCAGGAGCACCAGCTTCCTGTAATCCGGGAGGCAGATCGGGGATCTGCACCTCTAGGAACAGTCTGGCACAGCCCCTGCAGCCCTCCCCGGGGTGTGGGTGAGTCCTTGATCTGCCTGCTAGATGACTGGAAGCTGGTGCTGCTGGCTGGGGCCAGCAGCAGTACTGATCTTCCCGACATGGGCTATGGACAGCCAGCAGCACCAGCCTTTTGTCATTTTGCAGGCAGATCGGGGGCTCATCCACACCCCCGGGAGGGCTGTGGGGGCTGTGCTGGACTGCTCCCAGGGGTGCAGGCCCCCAACCTGCCTCCAAGATCACAGGAGGCTGGTGCTGCTGGCTAGGATCCTGCACCCAACACCGAGAAGATCAGTGCTGCCACTGGCCTCAGCCAGCAGCACCAGCCTCCTGCCACCTGGCAGGCAGAGTGGGGGCAATACCCCTGGGATCAGTTCGGCACAGCCCCTGTAGCCCTTCCAGGGATGTGGTCAAGGCCCAATCTGCCTGACAGATGATTGCAAAGCAATATGTGCCAGAATTTATTGCTTCAAATTAATTACTCATGTAGATATGTTCAGTGAGTAGCACTGTATTTTCTCCCATATTGCATGCTCTGAAATAGGATGCGGACTTTGATTTTTAAAGGCAGAACATAGAGAAAAAGGATTTTTCCAGAGCTGTATCTGCCTCACCAAGACTGTCTGCTGGGATACCAGATTCTTGGACACAATATTTCCAGATGGGTTTGCTGTAAGTCACACAAGTTTAGGTCCCCGACCCTTGCCAGGGCAGTGGCCAGCTGTTAGTTCTTTACTAGAAGAAGTTATTTTATATCAGTTCCTATAAATAAAGTGCTGTTTCCACATCACAAGCTTAATTAAGAGATACTCTTCAGCAGCTCACTTGCTGCTTTAGGCAAAGCTACAGTGCTCAGCCAATAACTGTGTCTGTGAGATTGGCCTCAGAGATAGGCCTCTGCCCCTTCTGCTTACTAAGCTAGACACAAGTGACAGGCTGGAGACAGCATGCAGTGTCTCCAGTCTTGCTTCTTTTCCAGAAAAGAAAAATCACTTTCCTTGTTTAAGACATATCCCCCATTTTTTTTAAGACATGCCTCCCACAGTTTGGGGGACAAAGCTGTATGTGATGTGTGAGTAAATATGGCATTTTATGACCCAAATCTTTAGAATCAAAGGCTATCTATACACATTCTTTGGAGTGAGAGGGGACATTTTAATTAGGCTGGCTCCCATACAGAGGATCTAATTAACATGCCTCAGTGTCATGTGTATTCAGTGTCCCACAATTCAAAATGGGTGTGGGGCCCTTTAACTAAAGCTTATTCAACAAGTTTTAGTTAAAGCACCTCCACCACCAATTTGAAATGTGGGGCACTGAATAGAATACTCCAGCAGACTTGATTAATAGAGTTAATTAACTCAATTAATCTAATTCTATTACAATTTGTTGGAGCACATGGATAGGTACCCAAAGAGATTTATCATGAGGGATGATTTTTTGTTATCTTAGATTGTTTTGCACATATAAGAAGTCACTATGAAGGTGTCATATTTACATATTCAGTTTTCAGAGCCTATGCAGATACTAGTTATGTTAATGTTATCAAACAAAGTAAAAAAATAGGATTGAGTCTGGGTGTGCTAGATATATTGGAATAAGGGATGTGATAACTCATTCCTGTGTGTAGTCAGTCAAGAAGTTGACAAAAATAAGAGCTAGCCAGAGAGCACAGGGAATTTCTACATTGCAGTCATTGTGCAGGGGCAATGTGTGGGGATCCTAGTAAATCTGAGTAAAGAGAATGGGAACCATACAAAAATTATTTTAGTCCTCTGCTCTGCCCCCAAACCTCTCTCCCTTCACCCCCATACATCAGGTACCACTTTGTAAGTTGATTCTTTTTACAGGGTATGAAATGGCTTCATTTTCCATTTTTTTTCATAGATTTTTTACTGACTTTTAAATGAAATTGTGAAATATGTTTTCATCAGGTTCAGGATCATGAAAAAATGAAATGATTAAAGATGATTTTGAAAACAATTATGATAAAAGATCACTATAATATTTGGGAATATTAAATTGAAACCGCATTTTAATTTCATTTTTGATCAAACAATCTTTGTGTTAAAATTTTCTGCTGACTTTCTAAATTACTTTCAAGATAGAGTTTTATAAACATCACAAGGGTAGATCTGCGTAAGATAAAAGGAAATGTAACCTTTGAATCAAAAGACAATTAAGAGAAGATTGATTCAGAAATTGTTTGGATGCCTAAGAACTTTATTGATTTTTTGTTAAGGAAAAGAGGTTTTTATTAGGTTGCTATAGTATGGCTTTTATTCATTTCCTCCCCATTAATCTTTTCCCGTTTTACTGTTTAATCTTGCACAGCTGGCTGAATGATGGATGGAGGGGAGGGTTTGGGAGAAGTATTAGCTGCTATGTTTTGGGGATGTCCAATAGTCCAAGACTTTAGATCCCATTTACCTCTAATTTTAAAGTTAACTCTTACTTAAAGTAATTTCATTGGACATGGTGTTTCTGAAATGACATGAAGATGAGAGGCTTGGAGGAGAAAAGATGTCCATTGTTATGGCTGGTCTACACAGCTTGACATATGACCACTATAATATCAACAGTGCTGAAGACTTATCTGAGGATAAAGCAAGTGCCTGTTGCTTCATACCGTTAGGATATGCAACCCTTTCTGTAACCATCATGATTTCAATAAAATATTTTATAACACTGGTGCACCAAAAGACACTGGTATTCTTTACACTCTTATGACCTACTAAACACCAGCTCTATCTTCATCTTGTTCTGCTTCCTCAGGTTTTCTACAATTGTGCTAGTCAGCCCTAGCTGGGTACCCAGTTCAGTATAGTTTGTTACAATCAAATGTGCTCTGATCACATTGGTTGCAGCAGAAAGAAGGTTGCTGAACACAAGAAGAAAGGGCACTGCTAATTTATAAAAAAATCACATTTAGTGAATTCCAAGCACTCTTGATAGTTAACTGGTTCAGGCAATATATAAACAGCTAAGATTTACATTCTTATTTATTTTTAGTTCCCTACATT